TAAAAAATTATAGTATTTCACGTCTGAAATAAATGCTGACTATTTCTCTTTTGTCTTAGCTGCCAGGCAATTTAGAGCTAAATTCATTGTCGAGCAGCAATTATCTTACTTCAAGTGCTTATTAACATCTAACTCCCATGTTCTTCTGAAATGATGTCTGCTCTATTTACTTCTTCCAAATATCATGTAGTACACATTTTTACTTTTACATGACCCACAAGATAAAAATAGGTAGTTATGTTAAATTACCAGTAGAAACTCAAATGTATAAGATTGTTTTTAAAATATTTGATCAATTGAATTGTATTTTTTATTTAAGTCATGACATTCAGGCATATTTACTAATTACCTACTGAGAATGATTCTCAGCATGTATATATAATGTATAAATTTTTACATAACATATAGAGTATATGTATATTTACAGTATAGATTAAAAATATAAATATGTATAAATATTCACTATATTAAGAATTAATATTCACAATCTTGGGGGCCTGTCATTCATTCCACTTTAAGATATGTGAACCAGGGAAAAAATCAGAGATTTTTATTTTGTTTTGTTTTGCAGTACCAGGGATTAAACTCAGGGTCCTATACATGCTAGGCAAGTACTCTATCAATTATGCCATATCCATAGAATAAAACATATGAAGGCATTAATTTTTTTCCAAATACCCAAAAACATGAAGAAATACATTATAGAGTGAAAAAAATAGTTTATAAAAAAATTCATATATAATTTGATTTAAATTTTGTCTTTAAAAATTCACTTAGGAAAAAGATGAAAAATAAACCTATAATAATGATTTCTGGTAGAGTGATTGAAGGTGAAAACTTTTCTATTTACATGCTTATTGTATCAAAAGCATCACTAGGTTTTTTTTAATGCTTTGGGAGAGTAATATTTTTCCAAGGCATTTAGGAAATTTCCAGCTGTTGGTATGGACAAGCATGTACTTGGTTTTGTTTATTTTCATACTAGTGGAATTACTGGATCAGAGAGCTTTGGGCATTTAAAGTCTTGTACAAATTTTACTCAATTAAATTGCCTTCCATGAGGATTTTAAGTATGGTATATTTTAAAATTTATTTTCCATATTTCAGTTCTGCATCACAGTATGATCCTATCAGACTTTGAATAATATATTGTTTTTACTAATTTCCAGTTATATACACCCAGTCATATGCATCTAAATTTTTTAAATATAAGGAAATTATCACACATTCTGAAAATTATTTTCCAAAGGTAAATTGAATTTTTAATGTCTTTTTTCAGGATCCAGTGAAAGATGGTGAAGCAAAGATCAAGGGTGACTATGCACAACTTCTTGAAGATATGCAGAATGCATTCCGAAGCTTGGAAGATTAGAATTGTGATTCCTTTCCTCCTATTCCTCAGCAAGCTCATATGTGTATATTTTCTTGAATTTCTCATCTCAAACCCTTTGCTTCTTTATTGTGAAGCTTTGAGACTAGTGCCTATGTGTGTTTTCTTTTGTTTTGCTGTTTATTTGGTAGGTCTTATACAAAACATTCCTTTCCTCCAGTGTTTGAAGGGCCTCCCTGATACTTTATCTGAAGTGGTGAATGTAATAAATATGATATACAATGGCTACACTACTATAAACCTGTATGTAGGGCGAACTCCCTCCTTGTACTAGGTTTGCCCATTCCTCATCTCCATTAAATTGTAAACAGGACTCACTGCATATACTCTCTTTGAGTAGATTTAGAATGAAAGGCCATATTTTTAAACCTTTTGACAGGTACTTTGTGAAATGACTTACTATCTATGTGGTCCACTTGCAGCTTAGCTTTTTACTAAGTAACTACTTTGCAGGAAATGTTTTACTTTTAAAAAACTTTGATGGTTAATGTTCCAATTATGCATTTCTTTCCCAGTATAAATCAGGAATATTTATGGGAAGCTATTGGGAACTACATTGTTTTTAAAAAGATATTCATGGAGCTCAGCATAATATATGAATCAGTACCCTCTCAAAGCATGAAAAAAAAGACAGGTGGTCAAACTTAGCTAACATCATCTTGTTAAACCATACTTTATTTAGCTAGGAAAAATTCAGTATCAAGGACTATTATATACTATATTAAATTACACTAAAACAATCATCGAAAACTTGATCTATATTACATACTTATTTTCCTCAAACATCTTGGAAGCCTAAGTCTTTAAGAATCATGTGGCAATGGATGATAAGTAAAGTGCCACAGATAAGATACTTAGTAGTGGTTAAAGGCTGTTTGCCCCTTTAAGAACCAGCTGAGCTGTAGTGATTCTTGGGGCCAGAGTGACATTATGTTTTTACAAAGTAATAACATGTCACACGCTTGCATGTTTATTTGCTTGTTGAATTTTTGAACAACCAGTTTACCAATTGTAGAGAATATTGCTTTCGTGGGTTTTTTTTCTGACTTGGAGTTTCTCAGAATATCTATGGCCATAGTAGTGTGACAGTTTCCATTCTGTTTAATAGGGATGAAGTTAATTCTTTTATCTGCTGGTAACAGAATCTGAGTCATGTGAAAAAAAAGATCATTTCATCCTATCTTTTAAGAATATGTCTAAAAATAATAAATCTCTGTGTTCGTATACTAAGGCACGCTGCAGAACAGCACTGAGAGCAAGTTTCCCATTTACTCTTTCTGACCAATAGAGGTGGCACCATTGCTTCCTTTTTGGGAAAAGGAAAGGGTGTACATGAGCATATCTGATGATTTGATACACAGTGTAATAGCACAAATAAAGTATTTATTTTATGCTTCAGTATGTTATTTAATTTTTCGATAATGCATTTCTTTTGGTCTATTAAAGAAAGATGTGTTCAGTAGTGAATTCAGGTATAGTTTTGTGTAAATCTTTGAAGATTGCATATTTTCCAGTAGCCTGCTATTCAGGAAAGATATTCTTCCATAGAACTCTTTTTTTTAACCCTTCAGAATATTGACAGATAAGAATTATGCAATGATTTGTTGAGATGTGGACTTAATGGTGCTGCTTAATCAGTTTGCTTCCAATGTAGGAGACTTCCTACCCACAGGTCCTAAGACTAGTGAAAATTAAAAGGATTTCAAAAACTTCTGTTAAATCTACCAGCAAGCTAGGATTGTGATCATAATGAATGACATGAAGAAACTAATTGACCAAGTATGTTTTCTGTTGTACTGAATTTGAAACATGCATTCTTCCTCCTTTTAAGAATGTTGATATATGAATGTGAAGATGATTGAGAAACTATGCTCAGATATTCATTGTAAGTGTCCCTTCACATATATGTTGTAGAATTCCAAATGAGTCACTGATAGTATTTCTTTAGTAAGGCTGTGTTAAAATTACAGCAATCTTTTAAAAAGATTATGCAGTTCTATATTTATTGTGTTGTACCTCGTCCTAAGTGCAGCCAGTGAAACAAGTTTCATATGTATTTTTCCAGTGTTAAATCTCACACACTGTACCCTTTGGAAATTTCCATCTATCCTAAAGAATGAATAGAAGAGGCCATATATATTGCCTTCTTATCCTTGAGATTTCACTATCTTTATGTTAAAAGTTATGTATAATTATTAAAATCTATGAAAGAATAAAATGGATTTAAATTATTTGTCTTCTCTTTTTGGGTAGCAGGAAAGCTGCTAGAAAACATGCCACCTTGTTGTATATGGGCTTAGTATTTTAGCACGACCTTTTTAATTTTTTTATTTATTTTCTTTATAGATTATTTAAGATCCTAAAACCAAATTGGGGCCATCACTGAAGTGATATCCTATCATTGTATCTTACAATGATTTAAAAATATAGCACATGGAATTTTATCCATTCTGATGGTACTTTAAATTGGAAACGTAAGTGGATTTCTGAAAATCGTAAATTAAAAGAGATCAGTGATACTTCAGTTTCAGGCAAGGGAGCAAAGCCTTATAATTCATGTTTTTGCAAGCTGAATTATTTTAGATCCAATGTAGCAATGAACAACATTCATTGTGTAGTTATCCAATATGTTATCTAGGATATGCTTTTTTAAAAAAAATATTTATTTATTTAGTAGTGGGGATTGAACTCAGGGACACTTGACTACTGAGCCCCATCTCCAGCCCTATTTTGTGACAGGGTCTCACCAAGTTGCTTTGCACCTGCTTTTGCTGAGTCTGTCTTTGAACTCGAAATACTCCTGCCTCAGCCTCCAAGCCACTGGGATTACTACTGTATGCCACCATGCCCAGCTTAGGATATGTTTTAAATTTTCCTTGAATGTTGTATTTCCAAAGGAGTGAAAAAGCAGGGTGTAATGGACAACTTCATATTCCTACTGAGTGCCATGTTTATGTAGAGGAATACTTAGGGATTCACAGGAAGACTTCTTCCTTATAGAGTGGGTAGTTTTTAGTCCCTTAGGTAATATCCCAGTATCTTCCTCATATTAGTTTTAATGGTTTGCTATGCATAAGAGCATGAAGAAGAAAACTCACTTTTGAAAGTCAGTGTGATAAAATGCTGTGGACATTGTTGTAATAGTTTGCATTTTCCTCAGAAGTTGACACTGAGACAAGTATTTGAGTTTAGGTAGTTTATTTGGGAGATGATCCTAGGAAATACCAATAGGAGAGTAGAGAATTGGGAAAGAATAAAAAGAAGCGATTATAAATATTCATTGTTAAACAAATTAATACTGTTGGACTATGGAACCCAATCCTGCTGCTGAATTCTGGGAGCAAATGAAGAACATGCATCTTAATTATTACACCTGTGAGTACTTTAACCAATCATTGACAGCCAATTCCTATCAATTTTCCATTGCAAACTGTTCTTAAAATGACAGGAAAAATAATGCCCAGCACATGCATACAGATAGATGAGGCCTAGTGGACATACAAAATCCCCTGGGATATTAGGTTAACATGCACTGAATGATAACTCATAGCTGAAGAGAGAAAGGTGGAATATTACCAGCAACTCTTTCAGGCTTCTTAAGAACCCAGGAAAAAAAGAATTATTCAATCAGTAATTGAAAGCCGTTGTTCTGCAAAATAAGGAAACACCATTTTAAAGGATCAAGAAACTGGGAGAAAAGATGTGTTTTAAAGAGCAGAAAGTATACACACACATGCTAATTATGGTGAATAGAAGTGAGTTTTAATGCTCCTGAAAGTAAACAGCTTCTTAAGTTAATGGGGATTTTGATCATTTTTTATAGCCCTTCCATTATAAAAAAGAGGAATTTGAAGTCCAGAGAAGTTAGTTGATTTGCTCAATGTCAAACACGGCTCTTTTTTTTTTTTTTTTTTTAAAGAGAATCCTGTGTCTTTCCAAATTCAGAGAGTTATAAATT